TTGTTGCCCTGCTTTTTGTGTTTGATCTATGGTGCAAAAAGAACGCATACTAGTAACTTATTTTATTGTACAGATTGAGGAAATTCAATTCAACATTCAAACAAATTCAGTAATTCACGAATTCATAAGTCTGCAATCAATCGATATAGACAAGAGAGCGTCATTCTTCATGGCCTTGTTTCCGAACAGTGTTCAGACTTAAACGTTCGTTCAGCTGAATCGTTAGCTGGTTCCAGTTGAATATATTCAGATCTCTCAGAAAATTTCGTTGCTTCATTTCACAGTATTGAAGAACGTTTTCTCCGGGAGGTGAACCGTCGCAACAGCCACTGTTCAGTGGAAAGCAGAAAGAACTTATATCAAGGCCGTCGCTGTAGTTGACGATGACAACTTTCTGCTCGCCCTGCAGCCAGACGTACGCCCCGCGTGGAGAGCTTCGTTGATAGCCTCGTTTATTCGAGGTAGAAGTCGGTGGTGCTTTTTCTGCACTTTCAGTAAAAGAGTTTGTGCTAATCATCTTGACAGACATAGCTACCGCTCGCGAGCACAATTCTGCCGCAACTGACTGACTCTCAAAGCGCAGTGTAACATTGCGGTGCAGCAGGACGCGGGTGTACAAAAGTTGTTTACACCCTTAAAATTAAACTGAACATCGAATGGAAAGTTTTGTACACCTGAAAAAATATATTCTTTGGTAACAAGTTTAAGCATATGGTTATAGTCATAAGCGATTTTGGTCAATATGATTCTTAGTCGAAGAAGAGTTTAGTGAGAAGCAAGTTTAATGGTTTAAGATACTTCAAAAATGCCAGCTACCATCATCTGCACGGTGCATTCTCTCTGTTTGACATTGATCATCAGTATTACCTGGATTATATTATTTCTCATAGTTGTCCTAACTTGCATTCAGCGAATGAGTTTTTGACTAGTGCACTGGTAGTCATACTTAAAATTGCGTGAAGCATTGTCTATTTTTGGACTACGAAGAAACAGTCTACGAAAGCAGAGCTCGGTCTGAAAACTAAGCTCTCAATATTCAAGTCGATCTTTATCCCCATACTTACC